TCATACGGTGGTTTGGATGGAACTGGGTTGCCTTTCTTGGTAGCCAAGACAGTTACAGTTCAGATGGACTAAAACTGTTTAACAAGTATATAAACAATACTGGCATTTGTTTGGCCTATCAAGAGGGTCTTAGTCCAAATGCAAACTACAGTCTAACACTTAAAAAGATTGATAAGCTAAACATCAATGTCATTGTAGTTTTTGCTTTGCCACAATACGCAAGCAAATTCATCAAAGCAGCCATAGCTAACAACATCCAAGACAAAGTATGGATTGCAAGCAATGCATGGGCTATGAATCAACAGCTTCCAAGAGAGCCAGGAATTGCGAAAATTGGCACAATCATTGGCATTGCAGAGAAACTGTTGTCATTGCCCGGATTTAATGAATTTGTCTATAAAGCCAGAGGAACAACTGATGTTGGCCATAATGATTCTGAGGGTGCAATCAAGAGTAAGACATGTAATCAAGCTTGTGATTACTGCACATTGTTGACTGCAGAGGAGATTATAAATGAAAATCCCACACTCTCCTTTTCCATCTATGCTGCCATATATACCATATCGCATGCATTACATAAAGTTCTAAAGTGCGACATGACTTACAGGATGTTTTTATAGTACAATGACTTTTTATATGTCAAAAGATCAAGGGAATTTTGATTTCCCTTTAAAGGGGTCATGAAATTAAGAATCAAAATGTTCTTGATATTTACACATATGAGAGGTTACACTGCAATAAAAACATATTACAATTTTCAAAGCTCAAAACTAACTCCTCAGGTTAAAATATTAGTTATTGTTACTCTTCTGAACTGTCAGGATTTGAAATCGGTACAATCATGATGTCACAATTTGCCCTCAACATACATTGTTTTATGCAATCAAGGAGGTATGTTTAGATGTCTGTCCATCAATCACAAGAGCTAAACTACTATTAAGTAAAGATAGGACTTTTGGTGCAAACAAACTTCCTCATCTAGCCTTGAGAAGCAATATAAAAATCTGAAACTGCATTTCATGACCATCATGGTCAGCACAAGCTTGGTGGCGTTATCCACTCAATGTTTCAGAGAACCGGGGGATATGAACAGTGGAGATATGGACAGCTCCATGGTTGCACAATGCGCTCACAGTAGCCGCATTTCCACTGTCAGGCCAAAAGCGGACATGCTAGTGCGTGCCAGGGCCAGTTACATTTCCACTCTCACTTCTGGGGCTTGATTGTGCCTCGTCTGTGCTTCCTTGGGGCCAACCCCCGGCTTTTTTGGGTCTGCCAAATACCTTGGGCCAAAACAGGCAAACTGGGTCTAGAGGAGTGGTCATGTTCAAAGCCGGAGTTTATACGAATCAGGAGACAGTCATCATGGCTTCTCATTTCCCATGTTTTCATATCAAGCTATCAGTTAAAATCAGCATTTAAAACATTTAAAACCATTTTTAAAATATTTTAAAATTAACCTTCAGACACAGGCAAGTGTCTGAAATAACTTACATTAGCATTCTGTTCACTGTGTGAGGCAGACATTTATTATATGCGATGCTAAAGGCTATGCATGTTAACCATCTAAATTATAATAAATACATGTTATGCTTATGAAAATACCAGAGACCACTGGAAGAACTTATCTGGAAGAAATTTAAGACAAATCATATGTGATTATAATTGTGTATTTATTTGGTTTCTTGTTCTGTCTTTGTCCTGTGTCTTTGTTGATGTCGGGCTTCTGCATATGTAATAAATTTCATATCCGTTTAATAACTCGTTCATTTTTCCCCTCACTGGTGAAATGGTGATGTTGTGTGACGTTTGCTGCAGAGAGGAATGCTAAGCTTGAGGTGTGAGGCAACGCTAGATGTTACGGGTCCCACAGAACACGTAGGCAGATTAAAAGTACCTGAATTATCAGGGGAAAACGCAAGGACAAGTAAGCTTCTGCGGCTTTCCTCAGGCGCAGCTCAGTAGCGTCTAAGGTAAACAATGCGCATCACCATGGCAACCTACAACGCTTACTTTCTCTAGTTGTTAGAGCTGTGTTGTTTCAAACTCAGTCTTTAGTGGTGATAATTAGTAAGTGACTCAGTATACCATAAACTTTTCACATCATACATAAATAAATAAATACATGAATAAATAAATAAATAAATAAATAAATATTAATAACCAATCAAACATTACAATTGTGAATACACAATGGTTTATAACACACTCCACAGCAAAGACATGATGGCCCCTGCCAACATATTCTTTCATCATAACACCTCTTTTATTTTTACTCTTCTAGTACCCGATTGCCATAGGAAGTACCCAACATAGAAATGTGACTTGTGGCGTAAGAATAGAGTAAGGTGCACTAATGCAAGATGTAGTAAGGTAAGGTGGAATGTGGTATGGTGCAATTTGGTGAGATGATAACCCCCAATATGGTGTCTGATTTATTTCGTAAGTCTCTAAACTGTTTACTGTTGAGTGTGACTGAATTGCTGGCTGACCTAGCATTTCATAAGCTAACCTCAGTGTGGGCCTCCTGTCACGTGTGGATCTTCAGACTTGGCTTGTTTGGTCAATTTAATCTGAACTCAAGGTAGGTATTTTTAGAACTTCTTGCATAGGTATATCACCTTCATTTATCGGACTACATTCTCCCTCGCCCTGTTCCTCCTCTTCTTCAGGTCGTTCTGCCAGTGTTTCTGTTCATGTTACTTGTCTTTCACAGTTAAATTCATTTTCATCAGGGAGATTACAGCTAAGTCTTTCATTTTCTGTAGGTTGTTCTCTCCGAATCTCTGTACGTTTTCTTGGTCTTTCTCTTTCAGGTTGTTCACAGGATTGTCATCGCAGAGGATCACAGGTAGGCATGTTGTGCTCCCAGGGTCTCTGTCCACTGTCCACTGTCTTTGTCTTTCTCTTTCAGGTTGTGTATGGTATCATTGTCGTGGAGGATCACAGGTAAGTTCCTTGGCAGGTTGGTTAATGGTAAGTCTTTGGTTGTTCTCTCGGGTGTCTCGTTCCCTTAGTCAATAGTAGTTCTCGTCATCCTGCTCCTCATCACTATCAGAGTCACAAGGTGATCCTGTCTCATCTTGTGGTCTTGTTTGGTTTCTTTTGGTCCTCTGTTTAGATGCTCCCTCTGGCATCTCTACTGGTAAGTCAGTAACCTGATGCAGCAGATTCCTGTGTAGAACTCTTGACTTTAAGCTGTCCGTCTCCGTGACCACTCGGCAGACTGGTCCATCATTTTTCTGCTCCTTGACAACATTTACATTTACATTTAGTCATTTAGCAGACGCTTTTATCCAAAGCGACTTACAATTGGGGGATACATAAAGCGATTCTTCTTAAAGAGGCAAACAAACACAGGAAGTGGTTGTAATACCAAGTTCTTAGACATTGTTCAAATAAGTACAAGCTAGAAAGAGAAGGAATAAATAAAGAGAGCTCAAATCGAAACTACAGTTCACACTTAAACGCAGGAAGGGAGCAATTAAATTACACGCGCTCCTTCTTAGCCGAGGGCAATTATTATAATTACCAGAAAGTGCAATCAAAAATACAAACGCAAACAAAAATATAACGTAGAAATAGGCAGAAAACGAAATATTCCTTCCTAGCAGCAAGTAATAATTCCAACAGCAGATCTATAAACAAGTATTATGCAGGACACTCACGTGCAGCCGTCTGTCTCTTCTGTTGACTAATCGCTTGACCCCAACATACACAGTTTGCTCCCAATATGATCTCAATTTTCTCACTTAGGTTTTTCACGAGTACTCTGTCACCAGGCTGAAGAACAACTCCTCTAAACTTCCTGTCATAGTACAGTTTTCCTCGAGCACTTGAGTTTGTACTGTTCTCTGAAGCAATTCAGTAAGCTTCTGCCATTCGCTCTGCCCACTGTTTGGCATATCCTCTTGGATCATTACTTTCTCTCTGTTGGTCACTTTGAACACAAGATCAATGAGTAATTGTGGGTGTTGTCCATAGAGTAGGTAAAACAGTGAGTATCCTGTCGCTTCATGTTGTGTGCAATTTTACACATGCACAATCTGTGGTAGATGTTCCTTCCATTTTTCCTTTTCCTTCTCTGACAGTGTTCTCATCATCTGGAGCAGTGTTCTGTTAAACCTCTCAGCAGGATTTTTCTGAGGGTGATATGGAGCAGTTCTTGAATGGCTCATTCCTGACAGTCGGCGCAAGGTTTTGAAGAGGTCATTCTCAAATTCTCGACCCTGGTCATGATGTAGTTTAGTTGGAAATCCAAACAGGGGAATTAAGTCATTGAAGATTCTGAATGACAGATCCTAAAGATGACATGTAGATGGAGAAGAGAAGTGGTCCAAGCACTGAGCCTTGAGGAACCCTAGTAGCAAGAAGTTGTGACTTAGAAACCTCACCCCTCCAAGACGCCCTGAAGGACCTACCGGAAAAGTAAGACTTGAACCACTGGAGTGCGGTTCCTGAGACGCCCATCTTCATGATGGTGGGCAGGAGGATCTGGTGGTTAACAGTGTCAAAAGCAGCAGACAGGTCCAGCAAGATGAGTACTGAGGATTTGGAAGCCACTCTTGCCAGTCTCAGGGCTTCAGTAACCGAGAGCAGTGCAGTCTCAGTTGAGTGGCCGCTTTTGAAGCCAGATTGGTTGCTGTCCAGGAGGTTGTTCTGTGCAAGACACATAGAGAGTTTGTTTAACACAACTCGCTCAAGTGTCTTTGCAATGAACGGAAGAAGGGGTACCGGTCTGTAGTTTTCTAAAAGTGCTGGATTTAGAGAGGGTTTCTTTAGCAGTGGGGTTACCTGAGCCTGCTTGAATGCTGCAGGAAATGTACCAGAGTGAAGAGAGGTGTTGATAATGTGAGTGAGCGTGGGTATAACTGAAGAAGAAATGGCCTGAAGGAGGTGAGTGGGGATAGGATCAAGCGGGCAGGTAGTAGGATGATTGGAAAGGATAAGTTTAGAAACGTCTGCCTCCGAGATTGGAGAGAAGGAGGAGAGAGAATGAATATTTGTGGTTATGAATTTTTTGTCAGTTTGTGGTGTGGAGAATTGGTCGCTGATGGTTCTTGTTTTATTTATGAAGAATATTGCAAAGTCATCAGCAGTATGAGTTGATGAAGGAGGGGGTGGAGGAGGACAAGAAGAGAAGAAAAGGTTTTTAAAAGTGTGCGAGTGTCAGAACAGTTGTTAATTTTGTTGTGGTGGTATGTTGTTTTAGCAGTGGAGACACTTGCAGAGAAGGAGGAGAGGAGTGACTGATATACACTAAGGTCAGTAGAGTTTTTTTATTTGCGTCACTTCCTCTCTGCAGCCCTGAGTCTAGAGCGATGTTCCTGGAGAACATCAGACAGCCAGGGGACAGAGGAGGTGGTGCGTGCTGGTCTGGATGAAAGGGGGCAAAAGTTGTCTAAGCAAGATGTTAGAGTGGAGCAAAAAACGTTAGTAGCTGTGTTTGTGTCCAGTGCTGAAAACTAAGAGGGTGGAGGAAGTGAGGATGAAACCATAGAGGATAGGCGAGTGGGAGAGAGTGAGCGTAGGTTACGGCGAAAGGTGACCTGTGGAGGAGTGTGTGTTATGTCCAGAGTCAGTGTGAGGTTAGAAGTGGTCTGAGGTGTGTAACAGTGTAACTAAAGTGTTGTCAGTTGAGCAGTAGCGTGTGTAGACAAGGTCCAATTGGTTACCTGATTTGTGAGTAGCTGTAGTAGACACGCGTTTGAGGTCAAATGAGGCAAGCAGAGTGTTGAAGTCAGCAGCCTGTGGTTTATCTAGGTGGATGTTGAAGTTACCAAGTAGTACAAAAGGAGTACCGTCCTCAGGCAAATTTGAGAGTAACACATCCAACTCATCTAAGAAGCTACCCAGTTAACCTGGAGGACGATAAATAACTACAAAATGGATTGTATCAGGGTGGGTAATAGTAATTGCGTGGATTCAAATGAACTGTTGCCGGTAAGAGATGGTAGACTATCAAATTTCAATTATTTTGAAATAAGTAGACCCGTCCCTCCGCCCCTCCCAATCAGGCGTGGGGTGTGGGAAAAAGTGAAATTAGTGGAGAGGGCTGCAGGAGTGGCAGTGTCCACGGGTTTAATCCAAGTCTCAGTTAGGGCCATAAGGTTGAGACTTGAATGAGTAGCAATAGATGAAAGAAAATCTGCTTTGTTTACAGCAGACTGACAGTTCCAGAGACCAATTGGAATAGAGAGTAAAGTAGTAGAGGACATAGGGACAGTACGCAGATTATTAGGATTGTGCTGCCTCCAATGTACAGTGCGTGATTTACGAGTGTTAGTAGTAATAGTAGAGATTTGAAAGCACATATTGAGTACAATTGACTAAACAAGTAGATGAGAACAAGCTGTACAAAAAGTAAAGAAAGGGGAGAAAAGCAATACTCAGGTACCTTGTCGGAGTCGCGCAGGCAGAGTCGATGGTCTTTACACTTGTTGGTCTTCACACGAGGGCTGCCGTGGTGTACTGAGCAAATATATACTCCCCTGTAATTGAATGCAGCTGGCCATGCCTTACTACTTATTATATAGCACGCCTTTACCACGGTAAACACAGTAAACAAAATGTGTGCTAGCAAAATGTGTGCTAGCAATGACAACCACGCTAAAATCTAATGAGAAAAGATACAAAACACTTGCAGACTGCTGTCCTCTTCTGCTGCTCGACTGCTTCTACTAGCAAGTACTTGCAAACAAGGTAAATTATACCTAATTTACCTTACACTTCAACAAGCATTTACTTCCAGTTAGCTCTGCTACTCTGTTCTGTTTTGAGTTTGTCTTTCTAGACACGGAAGAGCAGGCTGCACTGTTTGCATTGGCTTCATGCGCTCTGTTCTCTGGAGACCTTCCTCCAGTTGACGATCTCAGCTCAACAAGCTGGTACATATTCCTTGTGCCCCTCGTCCTTTTGCCACATCCAATGGCCCTGTGTCCTTCTCCACAGATAAAACAATGGTTGCATGAGCTGTTACTCTCCTCTATACACCTTGGACACCCGTATGGCCCTCCTCTTCTCACTGGCGTTGGTCTACATACAACATGTGAACCAGCTCCCATCTGTGCAGAGCAGTGACATGGCTCTTTAGCTTGTTTCAAAGTATCAATTGTACTTTTTAAAGCTTCTACTTGAGCGCTTAGTTCTTGTATGGTCTTTGTCTTGCTCTTTTTCTGCATTTTGAGGTCTGTTTCACTCTCGTCGAACCCTGAGTTAATTTGTGCACTATGAGCTTGAGTCTGTCTTCACTGTATGGCTTGGCCTAATCTTCGTTGGCATTCACTTTCCTCACTTGAAATCTTTGTCACTTGTTTCAGCAGTGCTTCATCAGTCACTGTGTGATCTGTGAGCAAAGGTTTCAGTTCACTTCTGATGTCGCTGTACTTGGGAAGGAAACCTTGGTGAATGGTACGCAGGAACACATTCTGAATTGTCCGTGGCTCATATTCAGTGTTAGTGTTGCTCTGCTTGGAAGCAAAAATTACTTTTTGCTTCAGTCCGATTACACGATAGAGAAACTGTTGTGGAGTTTCATGCTCCCATTTTCTTGTACTCATTAATTCCTGGAAAATCTCACTATTGCTTCTCTCACTTAAATGTGACTGCAGGAAACTTTTCAGCTCTGGCACAGTCAAATCATCTTTATTGATGAGCATTTCCTTGAACTGTCCCGGTTTAACTATCCGCAGGACAGCCTGAATGATTTCACTCTCTGAGCAATTCATTTTAATGCCTTCATCAGTTTGTTTACATAGGTTATTGTAGTCGATGTCTGAAGTACTATCACCTATCTGGCCACCATGTATCTTGAACTCTTTATGCAGTATGGAAAGTATGGAAAGTCGCTTGGACACATCATGTTTTCTCTCTACTGTTGTGGTAAGCATTCAGGGTAAAACACTACAACGTCTTGTAGTTGGTATCCTTTTATCATCTGCCTATGTGATCTTGAACTCTGACAGCTTTTTCCCAACTCATAACTAGTGAGCAGTTTCTGATACTCATTTAACTGTGTGTATGTTAGTGTGGCAGTAGATTCTGTGTGTGTGTGTGTGTGTGTGTGTGTGTGTGTGTGTGTGTGTGTGTGTAGATGTGTACAGGGGATGCCTGTGTGTGTATGTGCATCAAATTCATTCTCAATAGAGACAGATGGATCACTCACAGTATTGTTTACACGACTCTCAATTAATTCATTAATCATGTCTCTTAATGTTAGTAGTTGTGTGAATCCTTCATCTTCCAGTTTAAGTAAACTGTCACTCTGCATATAAGAAATTATGACATTCAAACAGCTTTCCTCATCATCCTTGGAGATGATGCTGTCATCGATATGCCCCAGTTTGAGCACAGTCAAAATGTGTTGGCTCTTCTTTATGTTCCAGACGAGTCTTTTCCTCTCGTCTGCCAACTTGTCCAGCTTCAGACCCTCTCTGTAGCGATGCGCCACCTTCCACTCAGCTTGGTCCCTTTTGGCTCTCTGGACGTCAGCAGCTGTCACAAGTCGCATATAACCCTCCTGGTCATCGTCTTGTCGCCGTGAAGCCTGCATCCCTGCACTAGCCTCACACTCTGGATGTTAATCTCGGTGGAACCTCCATGAATCTGTTACGGGTCCCGGGCGTGGAACACGTAGGAAGATTAAAAGTACCTGAATTATCAGGGGAAAAAGCAAGGACAAGTAAGCTTCTGTGGCTTTCCTCAGGCGCAGCTCAGTAGCGTCTAAGGTAAACAATGTTCATCACCATGGTAATGTACAACGCTTACTTTATTTAGTGGTTAGAGCTGTATTGTTTGAAACTCACTCTTTAGTGGTAATAATTAGTATATGACTCAGTGTACAATAAATGACTCAGTATACAATACACTTTTCACATCATACGTAAATAAATACATGAATGAATAAATAAATATTAATAGCCAATCAAACATTACAATTGTGAATACACAATTGTGTATCACATAGACATGTCACAAAGTATTCATACACAAAATGAAGATACTACAAATGACAAAACAAATGACATGCGTTAACATGCATACAGTACATGATTAAGTCTGACAACACCAGAGTTGGGTATAACGCATTACACAGAAACAATTCTAATTACTTTTTCCTGATAACGCAGTAATGTAATGCGTTACATTTTAAATGTATGTAATTTCATTACAGTTACTAATGTCAAAAAAATGTTACTTAAGTTGCAAATGCAGTGTTAAAAAATATAAAGTAAAAATCATGTTTTGTGCGTCACAGAGCTCGGATCCCCGGATTCGTGAGAGACTGCTCCTAAGACCTAACCTTATTTTAGCAGAAGCCATCGCAACTGCAAACCAAGTTGAGTCTGCATCAGAACAAACAAAGGCCATAGGAGAGCAGAGCATTCCTGTGCAAGCCATTCAAATTCAACAAAAGGCTTAGCAGCGCAAATAGCAAAGAACCGAAAAGATTACTCCAAAACCTCATGCACCTGTTGCGCATGTATGCTCATGTTTTCGTTTTGGTTCTAGTGGACACTTGGCTAATGCAAGGGACTGCCCAGCAACTAGAGCAGTGTGTAAGAACTGTAAAAAGAAAGGACACTTTGCACACGCATGTCGTTCGACTCCAACACACTCTTAGAGAAGTTGCCTTACCTGAGTACACCTTACTGTTAATCCAAGAGTCCAGCACGCTAAATAAAATTTAGTGTGATGTGGACATCCAAACGCCAAAATCCATTTGCAACTGTGTAACTGACTGTGGACATCGGCGCATCTGTCTTAGTTCTGCCTCGATCTGTGTATGAAGAGAATTTCAAGAGCACACACCTGCAGCCATAGAGCGCACAATTAGTTAATTACTCCCGCTCGCCTATTGATGTGCTTGGCTGTAGGCCAGCTAATGTTATTAAAGACAATGTCAAATGTTTTGCTACTTTCTTTATTATGGAGTCAGGAACTGCTTTAAAGGGGTCATATGATGCGATTTCAATTTTTCCTTTCTCTTTGGAGTGTTACAAGCTCTTGGAGCTGGCCAATCACAGCACACCTCTCTTTTTCAGACCGATGAGCTTTGTAAAAATCGACGCGTTTCAGAAAGGCGGGGCAAAGAGGAGAAACAATAATGTACATACAGTATGTGGAAAATAATGTGTTTTTTTAACCTTAAATCGCATAAACACATTTCATTACACCAAATACACAAAATAATGTTCTTTTTAGCAACATCATATGACCACTTTAATGGGAAATAGGGATTTGATATCTGCTCTCCAGCTCTGCATTGAAGGGAATACAATTACTTCTGCACGAGCCAAGAACTTACCTGCTTCTCTTCCCCCAATACCGCTGATGCAGCTTTCTTCTCATGCACCTCATGCTGCGACAGTCTGTGTGAAAGGGTTTATGCACAAGGTGAAAGTCTTGCCCTCTGCTGTACCTGAGCGTCAAAAACTATGACTCTTCCTTTCTCCATTCATGCTGATGTG